GTGTCCCCAACTACAAAAAAAAAAAAAAAATGAAGAAACATTTAATTTTTTGTTCAGCTCATTTATTTACAAACCAATTAACTGGGTAAATAAAAGAGGACAAACTTCAGTTTCTTGGAGTTCACAGTTAGGTGAAGAGGCAGACAAACTCTGTATTATTAAAATGAGAAGTCTGTATGCTCAGGTTGCCTATATCTGTCCCCCAATTATTTCCACTGCAGGAGAAAGAAAAACATGCCATAAACACTCAAATATGAAGAAGACACATCTCAAAAATGTTTGTTTTTTTTTTTTTTTTTTTTGGTGTAGCATATCCTTCACAGTGCTTCTAAACATAAGATCTAGGTCTCCTTTTTATCCTTCCACAACAGTTAAGGGTGTGTGTGTGTGTGTGTGTGTGTGTGTTTTGTTACTTACTTTTAAGTAACCAGTCTCTTCAGTGGGCTTTATGATTCTGAGCAGCTCAACAAAGCTGTGCTATGCAAGCCTCTGCAGCAGAGACTTTAGGAGGTCTCTTCCAAGGCTTTTTCACTTTGAATGCAGCAACAAGAAGAAGATGCAGAATATCTACACATATGAAAATCGACTCAGCTTAACCAGTAACCTTTTATTACTTTTTTGCTTCTGGTTCTCCAATTTGTCACCCTATTCTGAGTAAAATTCACTAAGGCAGCCCTTGTTATTCCTTTGCACTCCCTCTTCATCTTGAATCTTTGACATTTAGTCCAACTGTTATTGTAAAAATACAGCCCTACTTACATTATATATTAATTAGAACAAGTAATGGCATAGTGTCAATTTGGCTCTTTCCTACTTTTTATTATATTGTTACAATAAAAACTTAGTGCACCCAACCAAGTCAGCCTCAGCATGCACTCAGTATACAGCATGCATTCATATACAAGTTAAAGCACGGAGAGCTCAACACCGCTAAAAAAGAATCACTAATAGCCTTAGTAAAACATCTACCATGCTTATCCAAGAGCCATTCACCTGATGTCAGCAGAAAATATTACATAGGTACCTTTACATATACGTAATGACACTAGTTGTTAATAAATTGATAACACTTGTTCTCTTACACATGAACTGGAAAAGGAAGAAAATTTTAAGTTCCCTCTAGAACTGAAATCCAAAAAGGCCAGCTCACATGTAAGTAAAGTACAGTGCCACCCATGTCAATATAAAGACCCATGGAACAGTTTCAAAGCCCTCTGAAACCACCCTCAGGAAAGGACTCCCTGACTAAATCAACTCCAATAAAGTTTGCGGTATTAATCAGGATTTTGAACCACTGCCTGTTGGACTCACCTCTCTGTCGTATGACAAGGGGACTTTGTTCACCAACAGTGGTGCTTATGCCACTTAGAAACTCATAAATCTTAACTGCTGTTACTGTTTACACTGTCATTTCTCCTGACATCCTACTGTCAGGTAGATCCTTTAAGGCGACTCTGAGTTTCAGGTACGCTGTCACAAACAGATGTGACACCTTCAAAGTTCAGCTACTGGCTGCCTGTCCCACTTTGCTTCATATTGTTCTGTCCACCTCTTTTCTCACAAGGATACACTTCTTCTCGCACTGAAATTCGGAGTTAACTGCTCCAAAAGTGCCTTATGCAAACCAGTGGAGGACACCAGCACTGCCTCTTCATGACTTTGATGGTCCTGCACAGTGCTCAGGACCCTCAGAGTAGTACCTCCTGAATGAACCCTTATGCTTTTGGGGGAGCCCACAGTCTGCCAGCTATTAAAAACTCCTCAAAACTGGCGAAGTATTCAAGTTGAAAAAGATATATTAAAAACTTACAGTATAAGATTACTATGAATTACAGGTAACAGAATGTCACTTTTACAATTCAGTTTATCCCAGAAAGTTTCAGCTAAAAACATTACAGCATGGTTTTCAAGATTAAGATCATACTCTTACTCAAGACTTGATATCCTGAACTGTGGTCACATGTAAATCTATTTCCCCTTCTAACCTTCTCTCTAACCCCAAGGATTTTGTAATCCCATTCTCATAACAATTCTCATAACAATTCTCATTTCTCTTGTGAATCAAGCCAGTTTTCCAGAAAAAAATTCTCTCTAACCACTAGTTTAAGAGCCTGGCTTCCTTTTAGGGGAGATGAAATCACACCTCACTTCTGCAATGCAGTATGTTTCACTATGAAAAAAAATGGTCTAAAAATTACAGAGAAAACCCCTGACTGGCTGGAAAAAAATTTAAGACTCATTATGTATTCTACACTGAGGCTTGTAATTCCTGTAAATTGCTAATCCCTTCCTCAATAGACTTGACAGGTCAGTAACGTAAGGCTCCATTAGAAAATAATGGGCACTGAGGCAAAGCACATCATATATGCTTAGGAAAAAAAAAAACCTCTTTAATGTTATGTTTTACATTGCTGTCATCAGGATGACTTCTGAAAATGCGCTCCTTTGTAAAATAACACTTGAAAAATACATACTGAATATTAAATGTGTATATGTGCTTGAAACCTGTTTGCAGCATCCATGCAACAGCGGGTTATAACACAAGTATAATTTCAGTTTTAAATACACCCATATTGAGCTGTCGAATGAACAGTCAGATCCTACTGGGATTCAGACTGGTGTAAAACAGGGCGATCCAATGTCTTCAATTTTATTTAACTTATCTATGGACCCCCTGCTGTGTAACTTGGAAGAGGAAGGATGTGAGTTCCAACACTGCTTGAAAAATATAACAGCTATGGCTTTTGGAGATGACTTGGTACTGCTAAGCAGATCATGAGAAAGAAAGCAGAAAAATACTGAAATTTTGGAGGTCTATTGTGATCTAACTGGCCTCAAGACATAAGGGGAGAAGTGCCATGGCTTTTACATCAAGCCTGCGATAGAGTCATATACGATCAATGGCTGTCCTTCATGGATGATTAACAGCACTCCCCTCAATATGATTGAACATTGTAGCTCTGAAAAGTACCCGGGCCAAAGTATTGACCCATGGACTGGAATATCAACACCAGAACTACTAGAAAAAGTGAAGGGGTGGTTACAACGTGTTGGGAAGGCTTCACTGAAGCCATATAAGAAAGCTAACATCTTGAAAGGATATACTATTCTGTGATTGATTTACTGAGTTTGAGTGGTGGGGTTTTTGGTAGCAGGGGAGGGGGCTCCAGCAGTGGCCTCCTGTGAGAAGCTTCTCAGAACTCCCCCAGCTCCAAGTTGGATCTGTCACTGGCCAGGGCTGAGCCAAACAGCTGCACTTCTGCAATAACATATTTAAGAAGGGACCTAGGAGGAGGAGTTGCGACATCTATGTGAACACCGAGGTCACTGGAGGAATGGAAGAGGAAAGGGGGAGGAGGTGTGCTGGAGCAGAGACCCCCTTGTACCCTGTGGTGAGACAGCAGGGCACCACTCCCCTGCCACCCTTGAAGATCTATGGTGGAGCAGATGCTGACATATGGTCTGTGGGGGGCCCCACACCGTATCAGTTGATTGCGCCCAAAGGCAGCCAGGATCCTGTGGGAAGAAGCAGCCGCCGCTGTTGTAATTCAGTGCTGGGAGGATTGCAACATGCGGGGGTGTCCCACGCCGGAGCAGCTCAGGAAGGGCTGCAGCCCATGGGAGGGACTCCAGTTGGAGAATAGTGTCCCACGCCAAAACAGTGTGAGGAATGCTGTGGCCTGTGGGAGGGACTCAAGTTGGATAAAGTTTGTGGAGGACTGTCTACTGTAAGAGGGGGACCACAATGGAGCAGGGGGAAGAAGTACCAGAAGCTTCCCCCACCGAAGATGGAAGAAGCTGCAGCACTGACTGCACCCCCTTCCCTGCCCCTGCGCTGCTGTAGGGAGGAGGTAGAGATATCGGGAGCAGAACTGAGCCCGGGAAGAAGGGAGGGGTGAGGGGAAGGGGTTCTCAAGATATGTCAGTGCTTCTCAATGTCCTACTTTGTTAAGTGTTGTTACTAGTGTCTGTAATAAATCTATGTTCTTTTTTAATTTCACTAACAAGTCTGTCTTTTGCCCCAATCATAATGGGTGACTCACCCCTCCCTGTCTGTATCTCCAATCCAAAGCCTTTATTTTCCCCTCCCGGCACTGGGGGGGAAAGGGGAGTGAGTAGCTGCATGGTTCTCGGTTGCCCTCTGAACTCATACCACATTAGCAGACCAGGCCAACATAAAAGCTACATATCTGGAAACTCTTGATTTGGCAATACAAGTTGCCATCAAGGAATGTTTACATATACTGGCATGTACCCATGATGTCATCCTATACTCCAGCACTTGGGATGGAGGCCTGGCTATTACCAGACACTTGGGCTTGATGCCTAGTGCACAGGCTTGAAGGCTACACTGAATTGTGCAGTCTTCAGATGAGACAATAAGAGCATCCATTTGGCAAGAGGGTATTGAGAAAGAGTTTGAAAGATTAGGGATTGCAGGAGGAGGAGGTAAGGATAAAATTCCATCTATTTGGGACCCTAGAGTGGTCATGGTGATTTCAGAGAAAGCAGGCGGTGAGGTACCTGTCTCAGAATGGGAGATACCCACTCCAAAATTCACCTTTATGAGGCCCTGTAACTGGTGAAAACAGGAATTTGTGAATTGGACCAAGCTGTTATCCAAGGGCCGTGGAACTTCCAACTTTGAAAAGGATAACATCAGTAACAGCTGGATTGAATATTACAGAGGGATTCCCCACATAAAGCTCATCACGGTGTTACAGCTAAGGGCTAATGTCTACACCACAAGTGAATTTTTAGCAAGGGGCAGACGAGATTAAGTCAGATTAAATTTTACTGGAATTGTCAGGCAGAGAAGGAGACCTGTTTGCATATTATTGGATTCTGCCTGGTGGTACAAGATGCTAGGATTAAGAGACATAACTAACTATGTGAAATGTTGGTAGATGAAGCCAAAACTGGTAGTATTCCAGGAGCTGCTGCTGGAAGATGAACAAAATGAATCATACAAACAAGACCTGGCATTCGTTAAAGGGAGTCAGGCCCTTGTAGTAGATGTCAGTTAGGTATGAGAGTAAATCATTATCTTTGGCAGATGTAGTGGTGCAGAAAATAACTAAATACCAACACCTTAAAGATGAAGTTCAAGAACTGATGAATGCCGCTACAAATAAATTTATTTGATTTCCTACAGTAGTACGTGGCAAGTGGTATCAAGGCAACTACAAATTGTTATCAGAATTACGACTGTCTGGTTCCCATCAGGAGAATTTCACGTATCATCTATCAAATTGGGCACTATTTACATCAGTAGAAATTGTACATGTGTTTTCTAGTAAAGCACAGATTATTTTAAGATCTTAGTGAATTGTAAATAAACTGATTCTTTCTTTCTATCTATCTAAAGTGGGAGCCAGACCCCCAGGGGTGCCGAAAGGGTGAGTGAGACATGACAGGCTATTGATAGTATGTAGAGAGGACAAGGGACTTGGAGTCATGACGTGTCACCTATCCTGCTAAAAGAAGACACTAATCACCAGTCTTCACCTAGGTGGACGGGCCATTTTTACTTAACCTGGAAAAGGAACATGTTTAATTTGGTACGTTTGATACGCAACAATCATTTTCCAGTTCTTCTTAAATCTTGAGAAATGTACAGCATCTAACACCTCCCACGTGTGTTTTATCAGTAACAGCCACGGCGCTTTGTCATACCGATGACCAAAACGCTGGTGGGTTCTGAAGGTTTCATCAGCCCGTGTCACCCGGCCCTACGCCGGCAGCCGCGGGACCCACCAGCTCCGCAAAACAGCGAGCGGAGCGGGGACCTTCCTGGCCCCTGTCCACGGGCGGTTCCCGCGAGCTCTTTCCCACTCGCCGGCCGCTCCGCACGGACGCGGGTGGGCACACACGCTTCCTCCCGAGGTCGCGTTTCCGTACAACGCACGCTGACAGGGGTAGGTCTGAGGGGAGAAGCTTTCCTCCGGTCGGCGGGGGGAAGCCCAGAAAATAATAAATAAATGAATAATTAAAATAAATGAGAAGAACGTCTTAAAACGTTGAAGTTCCCCACAGAGTAACAGCAGGAGCGGGCACCAACTCGCCGCGCACGCTGCTAGGCGACGCGCAGGCCTCGCCGCAGCTCCCGCAGGGGCCCCGGCGGGACCAACGCCCGCCGCCACGCGTCGTGTCGCGTCGCGCCGTGTCCCGCTGCCGCGCCGCCCCACGCCACGCCACGCCCCTCCCCCTCAGAGCGGGCGCGCCGGCAGCCCGCCCCGCCCCGCCCCGCCCCGTCGGGCGCGGGCACCGATCCCGCTCCCTAGCAACGCGCCCCGTGGCGCGGCGCGGCGCTTTACGGCAGCGAGGGCGCTTCCCCCGCACCTCCCCCGCCCCCCCCGCGGCGAGACCCGGCGTTGTTGTCGTTGTCGTTGTCGTTGTCGTTGTCGTTGTCGTCGGCGCCGCCATGTCCTCGCCGGGGCGGTCCGAGGAGGCGGACCGGACGCTGTTCGTGGGGAACCTGGAGAGCCGCGTGCGGGAGGAGATCCTCTACGAGCTCTTCCTGCAGGTGGCGGGCGGGCCCCGGGGGCGGGGCGGGGCCGGGCCGGGCCGCGGGGCGGCGGCCGCGGCGGGGCCCAGCGCGGGGCGGCGGCCGGATTGTCCGCCGGGCAGGGGCCGGGCCAGGCCGCGGAGCGGGCACGGCAGCCTCCGCCGCAGGCACGAAGCCCCCGGCCGGGGCCCGAGGCAGGGCGGCGCGGCGCGGCGTGGCGTGGCGTGGCGTGGCGTGGCGTGGCGTGGCGTGGCGGCCGGGGCGCAGGAGCCTGTCCCGCCCTGCGCCCGTTCGCGGCCGCCGGCGTGGCTCCGGGACCCTCGGCGCGCCGCGGCTCGGAGCGGTCCCGGTCCCGGTCCCGGTCCCGGTCCCGGTCCCGGTCCCGGTCCCGGTCCCGGTCCCGGTCCCGCCCCCGCCCTCCTTCGGTTTTGTCTCCTCCCGGCTCTGCAGCTTTCGGTGCCGCCGATGGGCCTAAGTTCGTGAGGAAGTTAAATAATTTACAGATGTTTTCAAAATCCCCGCGGAAGAATATTGAATATTTTTTACGCTTTTTTTTTTTTTTCTTTAATATATCCTGAGGAGTATGTTTTTGATCAGTAGTTCGATTTAGAAAATGTAGTCTAAAACCTGAAGATGTGTTGACCAAGCTTGAAATTACAAACAGGGTGCCAGAGGCAATAGGAGTCATCTGCAGGTGGGGCTCTGGACTTTCACCTATAAATGATGTTTATGCCAAAATGTTTGAGAAGATACTAAAAATTCCATCGGTGGGATTTTCAGGGAGGTGGTGGGAAAACACTGAGCAGCTGGATCTGTTTCAAATCTGGGCTTAGTTTTCTTTCTTTGGAAATAAGGTATGCCAAGGAGGAAAGAAAACAGCAAAGACAGAAAATGTTAAGACACTGACCTGGCTTCAGTTTTGATCTCACATTGACAGCATCTCTAGTTAAGCCAGGCTTATTAAGCTGAAAGTGGTAAGGAAAAGGGGTGAGGATAGGGAGAGGAGAGAGTATTATGTCGCTAATGCAAGCATCGAATTTCAAGGTGGATTGACAGTAGGTGCTGATTGTGGGCTTCTCCTGAATTTGTTTATGGTGTGTTTTTGTGGTTTTGTTTTTTTTCCTCCTGGCATGACCCAGTCAGCCTCTGTCAAGCTGAAAGGTCCCAGACTCTGACTGGATGGCTTAGCTGACAGCATGGTGATAAACTTGCATCTACCAATCCACTGATTTCCCCCAGTCTCAGAATGAACCTTGTTTCCTTCTGGTGAGTCTGCAAAATAAAGAGTCTGCAAAAAAGAAAAAGGGTTGGGCAGAATCGTCTCTTGTCTTGCTATTTCATTTGGTAATCAGAACTATTTCTACTTACCAGTTTTATTCCACCGATTAATCTGGTATTTGTCTTGTTAACTAGGCAAGGCCTCAGCATGCTACCCCATTTGCATTGAAAGGCCTTTGTGTTTAATATATTCTAGCCCTTTGGGGTTTTAGCTGTTTCCATCTCTTCTTAATTTTTAATTTTTAACTTTTGCCTAAAATTAACTAAGAGACAGTTGTTTCTTTTCTATTTTTTTTTCTTTTCTGTGCAGTGTTCACACCTGTTTCCAATACTAAACAGTAGTCTGCTGTTTAACTGTAAATGTTAGATTAAGAAAGCTACTCTTACCAGGGGACATGAGTAATACCATCCAAATTCTGGTACAAAAGTGATAAAAGTAAGCGGATGCTCTCAGAATGCAGTTTTGCATGACTCCTCTGCATCATCTGCAACAGTCGTCCAACTGCTGACTTTTATCTGGATCTTTAGGTCATCCCAATAACACCTATTTATCGTTTTCCTTCTCTTCATCTTGTTCTTACTCAGGTTTCTCTGTCTTTTGCTGCAACAGTATATGCTTCTCACTGCAGTACTGTCCTTTCTTGGAAAGTATACTGTTCAATATTCCTGCTATGGCATAGTCCTAAAGATGCCCTCCTGACCTGTAGCTTTTCCCCCATCAAATTACGAGCAAGTATTTGTTATTACTTCTAAACTATTAATATTTTTATTTGTGAACAGGAAGGCTGCATATTTAAAAGACTGATCTGCAAAGGACTTGAGTTTGTTGCTTCTAGTTCTTGAAGAACCATACCTTCCTCGTTAGGCAAATAATAATCAGAAGACTGGATATATGTAATTTTTTTAAAAACTGCAGTGTAGTACAGAACAACAACAATAATGCCTTAAGGAGCCAACTCAAGCAAAAATAAGTATGTTCAAAAATCTTACTGAAATCCCTTCTTTAAAAACAAACAAAAAAACCAGGAACAAACAAAACAAAAAACCAGCAGATTTCAAGATATTTGGAAAGACAAGATCAACATTTTGAAGATTCTCTGCACAGGACAATGTAGGTAGTATATCCATTGCTGTATAGCCTGATCACCCTCTGCAGCAATAATAAAAAATGGTACATTTGGGGTTTGTCTATATAACTTCCCTGCTTTTACCAGGGTTGGGGGGCAGTGCATGTGTTTCATTTTTCAGCAAAAACATCTTATTTGATTGAGGATTAGTTTATATGCAGCTGGTAAAAGCATACAGCAATCAGAGATTATTATCACAGATGACAGTCCTTAATATCTGTAGTCTGACAACATGGAGGGTATAATAAGGGACATGGCTCCACATCATCACTAAATGCTCACAGCAGACAAATTGCAGATTTATTGTTTGACAGTAATCGTTGAAGAATAAAGTAGATTACTTTCTATGGCTTATTGTCTTCATCTGAGCATATGTTGTGTGTTTATTTTGAATCTTTAACTGTTCATGCAGTTTAATTGCTGTAAAGCTGTAATGAGTTAACTCGTATTTGCCTGAAGCTACAGATGACTTCTGAGTGACTTTTCCGTAAAAGTACATAATGTAATGGCAGTAGTAGTGGCAGCCAGTTCTACTGACGAGTGCTATTTTTTGATTCAGAATGATGAATTTTCCATCTACTACAGTAATTTAGACATTCAGTAATTTTTTTTTTACTGATAGATTTTTTTTTTTGTAACTTAGTTCACTTCATTGCTCATCAGGATGTTATATTCTCCTGAAGTTAAGTTACTGCATCCTTAACATTCCTGAGCTGTGGCAGAAGACTGCAGTTGGCCACTTCTTTCCACTCTGCTAAATCAGCCATACAGAAACATACTTTGTTTTGATGAGAAACTTAATTTTGTGACTAATACAGTGATGCCATCTTGTGTAGAGAAAATTCATCATCTTTGATATCTATTATGAAAATGACAGTTTATTTTCTTTGAAAATGGAGCCAGTATTTATGGAATATCACTGCTTTAAATTGGTTCTAGAAGTACTATGCAAGGATAAAATGGTATGTATAGGCAGAGACAGAACTTCTCAATGAAGATGCTTCAGACAAAGGGTGTGGTTTGGGATTTGGCTTTGGTGGTTTGTTTATTGGGTTTTTTTGTTTGTTTATTTGGTTTGGTTTTTTGTTTTTTTTGGTGGGGGGTGGGACAGAAACAGTATCTTATCTCCAATGAGATGATAGCATCTCTTGATTCCTTGCTATGCAGTTGTGATGAGGGTTAGGCAGTACAGAAAACTTTTGTGGTGGTTCCAGAAGCACTACTCACTATTCAGGTTTGCTTTCCCACAGCATTGATGCTGCCCATTTTAGGAATTTAAGCAAGAGTAAAATAGAAGTGTGTGAATGGAATAGGTCGCTTTTACATAGCTGATATTATCAATTTGCTTAGTTATATTAGCTGTGCAAAAAACTTCTGTAATAATAGTACTAGCAGCTGTACACGCATAAGATAGATAACTATGGAATCAGTAGTCTTGCCCCTTGCAACAGCTATCATAATTGTATTTTAAAAATAATTTTTTAAATCTGATTATTAAAGACTAAACCACCCATGGACTGATGCTCGGTTCCTTTTTAACGTTTGTAGTATGCTCAGAATTTGAGCTTGGGGAATGTTGAGAGACAGTTTCAAAATTAAGTAGAGATTCATATACTGAGAACCTACGCTGTTTCTGACTATGGCAAAATATACATCATTATGAAATATTCAAAACAGAACCTAAGTGCCAATTTCTGTGAGAAAATAATACAAATTTCTTTCAGGCTGGACCATTAACCAAAGTGACGATTTGTAAGGACAAAGAAGGAAAACCTAAGTCTTTTGGATTTGTCTGCTTTAAGCACAAAGAATCAGTGCCTTATGCAATAGCTTTGCTGAACGGAATCCGCTTATATGGAAGACCAATTAAAGTGCAGTATCGGTTTGGTATGTTTAGTAATGTCAATGATTAAATCTTTGTAGATTTTTAATTTTTTTTTTTAAATGACTGTTTTTGAATCCTACAGTCTTTTACAAAGATGACGATTTATAGTTAGACTGATTTAGAGTCTATTTTTATTAATAAACAACAATTTCTTGTGGATTTTGCATAGGGAAGGATTCAGACTTTGTATTTGTTGTTTACTAAGAGAATATGATAGGTTGGTTCAGAACAGCGTAACTTGCAAGCCAGCTCAGACCACACTGTATGAAAAAAATAGCAACACAGGTTTTCATTCCAGATTACATTTAGGAATCAAGGTGTGACACTAACTTGCAGCCTGGCAGAAAAAGTTGATTCAGTAAGTGCAGCAACTGTCAAGCTGTTTGATGGGTTTTATACTATAGCCACAGAGTTATCCGAGCTGTTGTTTTAAGTGGAATAGATTGTAGTTCAAAGAATACAGTCAAGTCAGTGTCACATTTTTCATTTTATGTTTATGAAAATAAACCCTCTAGAAAGCTTAAAGTCAGGCAGCACTTGCAACCCAAATGTTGAGGACTCATGTTCCCACTACACAGTGTGCCGCTCCTTACTTCAGAGGCTGTACAGAGCACTTGCTGGGTTTAAGTAGAATGGCTGAGGTTCCTAAAATCAGAAGTATCTCCTCTGTCTATATCTGAATGGGAATTATTAGTTCCGCAGCCCTGACTTCTGTAAGTGAATAAATGATAAAGGAATGTTTTCAAGCAGTAAAATAATACTATAGATTATCTGCCATAAAATGGCACCCTACTTTTATATACTACCTTAGATATACTAGCACACTACAGCTGACACAGAACACTTTCTATGTTTTTAACTTACTGAGTAGTTGTATATGAATAGTCATTATGCTCTTGTCTTATTTACAGGGAGTTCTCACTCATCAGAACTAAACAGCCCTACACATGGTTTTGAGAACTATATTGACTTACATTCGCCTTCATATAGGTAACAAAGAACACCTGTGAATGAACTGTATAATTTTTTAATAATCTTCTTAAGCAAATTAGTTGATGTGGTAAGGCAATCTTAAGGCTTTTGATTAAAACACCTGTTGCATGCTTTAATTGTATCCTTACTGATGACTTGCAATGGGCTGTAGTTAATTTTAATGTTTGGTTGTTTAGCTTGCCAGAGGTTGCTAGCTTGAATTTTCCATTCTTTATTTGTTTCTGCAAGATAAAGGACCACGAGAAAATACTGAATTATGGTGTTTGTACTAACAATGTTTGCAGTTGTTAGGGGGGAAAAATCTGACAATAGAGATAATCTTTTTAAACCTCAGTGAGTTTATATCTGTATTTTTTGTGTGTATATGTACAAGCAGCTGTCATGAACATATGTTTTAATGGAAACCTGAACACCCCAGATCCAGTGTTTTTCAGTGTTTCAACATTTTTATTTACAAATGTGACAGAATTCTCTGTGGAAGCTAAACTCCCATGGTGAAATCCAGATCTCTTTTGCATCAGCACTTAAGTACACGTGAGGATTACTCAGTAATGGAGCCTTTGGGTATATTTTCCTTGGTTTATCAGTTTTTTTGATTGAAGTACAGTTGTTAATTCTCCTCTTGGATATTCTCATTATAGCTCAAGAGTTAAGTCTTAGCAGTCTGGTAAGCAGTATGGGATGGACGTCTAGTCTCTGTACATTTGCTTGTTTTTCCTAGGTACCAAGAGCCTTACGGAAATCCTCCATTTCCTGTTACTCCTTTTCCAATGAACAATACTTTACCTCATGAATACTCAGGCTTTCAAAAGATGGTGAGTCTGTGTTAAAAGTTAAAAATCTGGGAGCTTTTTTATGAAGTTGAATGTATTATGCATTTCTGCAAATGATGGTACTTTATTTAATGTCTCAATATGTGGTTTAGGCTGCTAACTTTAACAGTATTAGGTCTATTTATTTTAGCATGTAAGGGTGCTTTAATAACAGGGGATCTATCAGACCAAACTATTTTCTTCCTGCAGGAATGTCTTTAAAGGTTTATAGCTTAGGAAGGCTAAAAATGTCAACGTCTACAGACAGAGCTCTCTCCTGTACCTGTTCCAAATCAAATCTCCTTGATGAGACAAGCTAACTTAGTAAAATTACAACCATGCAAGCAATAGCTTCTTCATATACAGCTAATTCAGTCAGGGAACCTCTTAGCTCTTCTTCTCAATTCAGAAATGCCCAGCAGAAGTTTGAAATGCCCTAAAAACAAACCTAAAACCAGTATAACAAATGACCACTGCCCAAGTTAGAGCAACTACAGTTTGAGGATTTCCGGCCTGAACCCGTACATGCCCCTGCAGTTCTCACATTCGTGATTTACTTTCACAGTAGTAGACAGTGAGAACCCATATTCCACTCTCCCTCTAGCAGCCCCTGGTGCACCAGACCATTCTTGTCCTAATCTCTTTTGTCTGAGATATTCCACAAGGCAAGGGAACTGGTCTCTTCAGGTGGCAACCTGTGGGCCAAACCCTACTCACCAAATGTATCATGGAGCTTCTGAATCTGATGAGTGTGGATCGGTAGGACTAAAGAAACCCAGCATTTAATGTGAGGTACCAGCTGGGGTCAGTACTGCTACCACTCAGTCAGGCTGGGGAGTGGCCAGCCCTTTGTAACTGTAGAAGGGGTGAAGTCTGGATAGATTACTTTCCCTCCCTGCAATCTGTGCAGGAAAAGAGAGAGGATCTGGTCCCTGCTGCACAAATGTGGTGGTGGCCTGCCTCCCCTCTGCCCAGGCTGTGTCCTTAGAACAGCTAGTGCTTGCACAGACTTTCCCATCCCCTCCACTGTGGTTGGAAGGCTCCCGAGTGTACCATCTCCTCTGCTGTGCTCGCCCATGAACCCACTCCTCTGTAACCATGCCATACCTAAACACCCAGGCAGACCAGCACACACGACCAACTAAATCCTGTTTTCTGCTTGCCAAGGGAATGGTATTTCAGTATGTCTCCAATGATAGTTTGCTGCAACTTCAGCAGGAAGGGATCTTGTCACATGTACGCCTTCACACATCTACCTCACCTTTATTTGGGTGAGCCAGGCAGGTTACTCACTTGGGAGTCTGCCCACACACGTAACGTACTCAGACATGCTCCACATCATATTTCTGGTTATTGCCAGTCAGTAGAAAGCTGCTCTTTTTTGACCTTTGTAATTCTATTTCTGTATTTGGGCTGTGCATTTTGTATGAGAGGGACATTTGAGATACTTGAGGGCTGAGCACTTCCTGCGTTGTTCCAAGTGCTTTGATATATGGATTCACTATACCTTGTTGGAACAACTTGTTCCACATCAACTTTAAAATTAGTTAAATCAGGTTAAAAAAAAATTACAGATGTGCATGTCTTTACATTAACAATAGGCACTGCAGTTACAAATACTTATAAAATATATTGATGATGAAAGGAATGCCACGTTTGATTACCTTACACAAGGACTGACAGTTTAATCTTAAATCAGGTTATGTCTCTGTTCTAACTTCTCAATGAAAAAAAACGTCTACTTTTTCCAACCATAGTAGTTGATGTAATAAAGTACGTAAGTTTTATTCTCAAATGTTCTGTGTTATTTTATAATTTATCAGTATTTTCATTGTGTAAGGCTTAATGCATGCAAAATTATACTCTTCAGAACTTGCTTTTTACGGTGTTAACTCAGGTTTGTTTCTCTAGATGAACCATTTTTTAGCACAGCAGTACACAGTACAGAGTCCAATGGGTCAGCAATTTCCTTACTATCAGATGACTCCACCACTGCCTTCAAATTTGTCCTTTTCTCCGTATCAGAATCAAGCTGCAAATTTTAAGTCTGCACAGAGTTCTTTTGAATTGGCCCTGCCACTTTCAAGTGACTGTGAAGTGCGCCAGGTGGATGAAAGCACCTCTAAAAGAAAGAGGGAACAGCAAAGTTTTGACAGTGACACTAGTATTGAGGATGACAAAATGAGACAAAAAGAGCGTGACCAAAAATACAAGAAGCGCAAAGCCAAGAAAAAGACACATTAATACTGTGTAACTGGATTCATCTTTTAATTATATTTGCTATTTTTGAGAGAAATTTAATCTTTCATCTTTGCACTTTATTAAAAAAGGAATGTTCAAGATTCATATTATTTTTTAAATGTGTTATGCACAAAGTATACTGATACTTTATTTTCAACCTATTTGAAGAGGAAAGTACTATTTAAGGTATAGGAAACAGTTAAAAGATAAAGTTTTCCTAATAAAGGAAAAAAACTAGTTGGTTCCTTCCCACCCTTCCCTCCCAAGAATCATGGAAGGCTATTATTTCACTAATATAGAAACTTTATGGAAATATATAATTTCAGCTAGACGCATCATTTCCATCACTTACAGAATGTATTTATGTGAATGGTGCAAGAATTTTTTGGAGCCATTGAAGTGAGCAGGCTAGAAATTCTAAGTGTCACATCAGAGATGTGTTCATCATTGAAGTATCAACACCTATAACTTTTTATTGATTTAGTTCTGTTGTTACTTTCTGTTAGGATCACCTTGTATGGTTGTTGGAACGTGTTTTCTTCCAGTAGCAAATCTGAGGTAAACCATGGACATTTGCACTAACTACAAGACTTATATATGTATTAATACTCAAATGAATGTATGTACTTTATGGCTGTAGTTATGTACTGACTAAAATACATGCATATATATGCATCTTTCTATAAAGTTACTCTCTAGTGTTTTATTTGCTTATTTGAGAATCTGTATGTTCATTGTAACAAATGGATGAAAAATTTAATTAATATCTCATCTGATGGATAGCACAAAATCATGAGTCAGTGGAGTCAGTCCTGCCTCTTAAGGAGAAAAGTTTTTTCCTTGTTCAGCAGAGGAACAATAAACTGCCTCATGCCATGATGAATCAAAGTAGTCAAATGACCTATTTTCTATCTTTCACAACTCCCAACAACAACCTACATACAGATACAGAGGTATTGCCTTATACAATACCAGGTACAGTATAAAAGTGAAATACTTTTAAGATCCTATATATATCCTAAGAAAGCAAAACACTTAATTTTCAGCTATTTAATATTGCTTAAAGCTCAGTCTTCTGTTCAGACTAGATGTGGGCTTCAAATTGAACCTGACAGTAAAAAATTATTTTGGTTTTATTAAACTCAGTTTTCTTGGTTCTAGTGTTGGGTTGCTTGAAAGGAATACTTTTCATCCTTACGCTGGTATTGCGAAAGGATATCCAAGTTTACTGATTTAAAGGTGACATGTTTTACAAGCCCAAATGAGTTTCAGAAATGGAAGAACTTGCAACGATTTCTCTTTTGTCTGATAAGATATATCTCAGGTAATAAAATCACTTTCTCAAGACACTGCTTTTAACTTCCCAAAGGGATTACTTTTTTATCCTAAGAGACATTCCTGTAACACCACAGTATGGCACCCTTGAAATGTCATTAGTAACCTTCTCTAGAAAGAATTTATGTAACAAAGGTTTGTCTCTTAAGTAAGATGTATGCCTGATGTTTTAAGAAACTTTCTAGGTCTGCTCAATCCCTTTCCCTTTTTTCCTCTACACTTCCATGCAAACACTTGCCCTTTTATCTTTTTGGTTATTTTTTTTTCCCCACCAGTAACTTTAGGACTAAGCTATGTAGATGTAATCTAATTTCTGTTGGAAGATACTGCTGACATTAGACCAATAAGTCAGTGATCACAATAGTTGCTGTGATAATGGAAAAAAAATAACAAGTAAAATACACTGGATTTCTTTAAACCTGTTCCCTCTGTAGAAGAAATTTAAATACAATCAAGTGGAGGCGGAATGTTAGTCTTAGCTTAAATTAGAAGTTAAGTTCATCAGACAAAGACAAAACAGACAGATGCCCAAATCAGTGTGTTACAAGAAGAAAAGCTGGGTGTGTGGGAATATGCTAAGATTACTGTACCTGTAACTAAATTTCTTTTGTACATCTGTTAAGGCATCACTTTAGTCAAGGCCCTGTTGATCTTTTAATTACATTGTCACCATGTTTAGGAAATAAAATACTGGAAACAAAAAAAAAATACTCTAGCTTGGCCTTAACCAAATATGTCTTCAATCACCTATCTGTTTCAGCCACTTTTAAAAATTCTTTATGAATATGAAATTAATGTTTTCTATGTTAGTTCTGTTTCTAAATTATTGTCCTAGTCTTGACAAGATTCTAAAATCTTGTCCTAGTCTTTCACTTCCCATACTACTGGCTGGCCACAAGACCTTGCATTCCCTGATGTCACACAGGTCTTGCATTTAGACTTGTTTCTCAGTATTTTATTATATGGAATGCAGTGCATAGTTATTTCTGTTACAGCCTCCCAAACTTTGAACAAATCAGTATTGCTGCAGTCAGTGATGCATTCTCATTTAAGGTGGCAGTGTGCCAGATCAACAGGAGTCAAAGGGGAGGTGCCACCTTAACTATGGAGTAAAATCAAGATGCTGATTTTTTATTAACTTTTGGAAAGACTTTATGTTCAGGAAAAGACACAGCAATGGAAATTTCTATTATAGCTTCCTCCCTCCCTACCTTTACATTTAAGTAGTAACGACCAAGATTTATGAAACCTCCAAGCAGCAAAACTAGGAAGCATTGAGAAGTAACAAAAACTTGGTATGCAATCTGTGGGAGTTTCCAGGGCTGCAAGAGCCTGGTTCCAGAGACAGGCTGGTGTCAGCTGCCAGCCCCGGGTGGAGCAGTTCTGCTGACAACGAGCAGGGGCTTTCTGTGTTTTGTCTTAAAGTGTTTTAAGTCTGATCTGTTCGGCAGCGACGGCACTGCAGTACTCTTATTTACACGGGAGACACAAAGCAGCCCGCCCTGCGGGCCCAAAACAAATGTCCTGTTGTTGTCATTTTCTGATGCGCTAATCAACTTCTGGTAGCACACATCCAACTAAGAGCTAGTGAAAAGAAAAAAGTAATTTTAGACGTTTAGTCACAAGATTGGATGCACACGCACCACCACACGCCGTTCCTTCTCCTATCCTCTCAATGTTACCCGAACGCCGCCCACTGGTACAGCACACACCGCGCCTGTCATTAAATGGCGCCAGCGAGGCAGAAGTCGAAGGCCGAGCGCTAGGGTACACGGCGCCATTGCACCCCAATCTCACCCAAGCTCCGCGGGCACGACCCGGCCGGGCTCCCGCGGCTACCGGGCCCTCGGGGGGGGCCGGGGGCCGGGCCTCGCTGGATCCCGGCAGCCGCGGCGGCCGAGGCCGCACCGCCCTCCCCGCGCCCGGCCCCAGCGCCGCCGGCGGCCGCCTCCCGCACTCCTCCCCTCGCAGGCAGCGGGCACCGTGCCCCCCGGCTGCCTGGGGCGGCCCGTGGGAGGGCACGGCCGTCTCCCGTGGGAGGCAGAGCGACTGCCAGGCGCGCCCCAGCCCCACCGGCAAGAAGGTGAGAGCGCGGGGCTGAGGGCGGGGAGGGAGGAGGTGGCGAGGAAGGGGCTGAGGGCAGGCTGCCGTCCTGCCGGGCCTGCCTGTGCCCTCGCCCGTCTGTGCTTGGGCTTTCATTTAATCCTGTGGCTTTTCACTGGGAGTACAAGAAAAATCACTGTGGAAAATGTGTGGGATCTCAGAGCACCCGCACCATACATTTTTGATAGGTGGGTTTTTTACACCACCTACCGAAAGGAACTGTAACTGCTCCTCTGGTTTGAGACGGTAATGACCGAGGGACAAAATTTACTCCCTAGGTGTGCCGAAGTCACTCTGGGGTGTGGATACGCATTCCTCAAGAAATATGGGACAGTTCGTATTTGTTTGCCTCTATTACTTTTATCTCCAGTGACTTACGAAATTGGCAGCAGTGCACAAGCCTTGAACTCTTCTCGTGTGTGTGTACAGTACACATTAGTAGTGCTTCATCTCGTAGGGTCTGAAAGGAGTTTGCTGTTCTTGAGGTATTGGCAGCTGATAACTTCCAATAGCTAGGTTTTCAAATGGGGGGGGGGTGGGGGGAAACCCACAGGATTTTAACTGTCAAAAATTTGAGAAAGGTTTGCTTATATTGGACATAGAATCATAGAATATTTCAAGTTGGAAGGGACCCGTAAGGATCATTTCAAGTCCAACTCCTATGCTTTATTGTTGGTGTGATCATAGTCTAGGGTATGTGTGAACAGTGTAAAATCAAGTTTAGGTGGTGGTTAATACCCTCTTTCTTACAGCAAGTTAATTTGTTCTAATAAGTCATGAGGCTAGATCTCTTTCATTCTTCATATTTTGTGTTAGTCTGTGTTGGTGGGAGAAAGTAACGGACAAAGAAGTGTAAGTATAGACCTTATTACAGCTCAGAATTAAATAGCTAATAAAATCTAAGTGTTTCATAAAAGAAAGAGAAAAAAAAAACAAACCCTAACTTCATTCTTCCAAGTAACATTGATACTTTTTCCTTCCTTCTTTTTAAATTGAAATGCAGCCCTGAAGAGAATGTTTTCTTCTTCAGTAAATTAAGATATTCCTGGTTTAGCAGGTGAGAATTTAATAGACTGCTTGTTGATGTTCATTGATGCTCACAGAATTATAGAGCACACACTTACAGTCCACAGCATCATTCTGGCTTGAGCCAGAGCCTGTGCCTGAGATTGCTGTTATCTTTTTGTACAAAAATCAAAGTCTACAACTTTTAGAGATCATATTCAAATACTTTGTGGAGTATTGTTTACACATAGTAACAGTCATTTTACACGTTATCTAACGGCATTATTTAAAACATTACTATTTTGATAACACAACGTTCTTGTCACAATAGACTATTTTTATACAATGGGATATAAAAGGCCACGTCAGGCTATCCTTTTTTATTTATTATCTGTCTGTGTAAAGTTTGGCAGTAGACAAAAATTAAAACAAGGTTTCCTTTATACTACATGTGGTGATAGAACAATTTGCTAGACCTACAGGAACAAATATTCAGTAGTATATTTAAGGTATTTTCCAAGTAGCCGAATGCATGCTCATTTTCCTCCCTCTCTTATGGCAGGCTGCATGTTATTACAGTAGATCACCTGTCCATAAACACCAATAAAGTCCTGCCACTGCTTGGGAAATTTTCCACTCAAAAATAGGAACTGAAAGCTCAACTATGTCAAGTCATACATCTTCCCTTCACTTAATATTTTGGATGTTACTTCAAACAATTTCATGTGTTATGTCTTGTGACCATTACGCATTTTTAACATTTTTCTTTTTTCTTCTTTAAAAATAATTTGAGTCAGACATATACACTTCAAAAATTTAAAAGTGTGAAAAAAAAAGTATATTATAACTGTTTCTTGCTTTATTCAATATTATTAATTCTAAGGAAAAACTGAAAACGGTATTTGCTGTTCATAAGCTGAGATAAAACAGATTGTTTCAAGGATTCAGAGTATTCGGTTAAACTATGGCCCTGATGAAGTTAGCGAGTTCACCATCAGTTTCAAAGCAGCTTTGGTTTTTACCAGTCCTTACACTGTATAACGACAAATTTTCAGTTTTTCTAGAAAGTTATGCAATGTACTGAGTGCAGTGCTTCTACATGACATTAATGTTTCGTTATTTCACAGTGTTCACTCAGATGTTCATGCTAGGCTATCCTTTGTGTTTTTTAACCAATTCAATAACGTTTAACAAAAGAAAAGAGGAAAACGTGGAAAAAGGATTTCAGTTCTGCTCAGTGAGAGCTTATTTAGCTATGAAATAACTGGATGCGATTAAATTAATATTGTGAACATTAGATATGTCCCCTCCTTCCAATCACAAGCAAACACAATAAATTATGGCTAATATATACTCACATTAAGTGCTTGCAATCTAAATAAGGAAATCTCAAATTAATTGTCACATATTAAACCCATAATGCTGTATTGTGTTTCTTTAGAATTCGGGCAATCTGGAGATTATGGTGTGGAGGGCATTTGGTAGGTCTATTTATCCTCTGGCAACAGTGAGTTTTAGCGTTGAGGTGAGTTATGCAGAGTTCTTAAACAACAGTTCCCACTCAAGTACCAATTGGTCTGCTTTCCTTGTCTGTCTCAAAAGCTGGCTCTCTTAGTGAGAAGCTCTGTTATTTTTGCCTTAATTTATCAAGTGTAAGGCAAATTCACTCTGTATGTAGTGTTACAGCTTCAGTAGGTGTTTGGGAGGCCCTTGGGGATAGTGAGGTCCACCCCCACCAGAATTTTGCAGCCTTCACAAAGGTGTTTCTGAGTCTTATCTTCTGTCCTGTGATAAGCACCATGGCACACACATTAGCCCCAAGCACAGCACTGGCACTGACCAGCACAGGAACGGCATGCTGGCGGCGCACACTGGAGAAGATAGACACTGCCCTTCTGCCCTTGTGCTGCAGCCCTCAGGGAGGGAAATCCCCACCAGCTGGAACGTTAGAGCTGCCACTGGCAGGACCCACACTCCGGTGGCTATACGTATGTCTCTCGTTGATTCCTAGATGTTTGGGACTTCCTTTAGGTTAGAGAACATTGTCAACATTAATCCTTTTGCATCTTCCCCACCTCAGAAATGGTACGGCACAGTCTGATTTGAATTGTCATAAATCTGATGTGCTTGTCAAAAGTTCCAAATCATCTATTTTTCTTTCAGAGTTCCTTTAGGTTCAGTATATTTATCAGACCTATTGTGCCATTTTTAAGACCAGTTCTAGTTTTCATTGACACTTAAGTGGGTAAAAGCACTTTGTTAACATTTTAACAGCTGAAGATCTGCTGTAAGAAAACTTCCATTGTACTTGTACTGAAACCCAGTAGTTTAATGCTGTTACCTTGGTTAAAGATGAGTCACAACATAATGAGTCACCATCCCTGGAGGAATTTAAATGACATGTAGACATGGTGCTTAGGGACATGGTTTAGTGGTAGACTTGGCAGTATTAGGTTAATAGTTGGACTGGATGATCTTAAGGGTCTTTTCCAACCTGAATGATCTATTATAATGCAGTCCTGTGATAGAAAAGGTATTTCATTCCAGATCACAATAATAAGTGAGTAATGATATTGCACATGTTTGTTTATGAATTAGTATGCTTCCCTATAAAGAAATACGGGATCAGAAACGTAAACAGATTCTGAGGTACAAAGGTTTCTCAGAATTTGCTATTCAGATATGACAATCTGCTTGGGCTCTTCTTACTTCAGGTGAATTTCAGTGTATTTAAGCTGACTGTAAGTATGTTCCATTATTTAGTCTGTATCCTTTATAGGATTACAGATATTGATTATAAAGTTTATTTCTATAAACCAAATTATATTATTAGTTTTTTGAGTTAATGGTTCTGCTTGGTTTGTCTGCAGTATCTCATGCTGTCTAAATTCATTGCTTTCTTTCAGACTAATATCTGTAGGCTATAAGAAGCCATTGGAAGGGGTTGACCTATTTGAGCTGAATGAAGGTGATTCACTCTACAGTGTGTCCCTAACTTTGAAAAGCAATAGAGAAAAGAAATCCAGAAGTCTACCACAGGATTAATGGTAACTATAATTCTGACAATAGGCAATAGTCTTTTCTGAATTGAAGGAGTCTAGAAGCTAGAGAAGATTTCTAAAATCTTGTTATTTATTGCATAGCCTACATTTTGTAGATCACAGAGGCCACTCAGTGTTGTGATCCAGGATCTTGAATGTGGCTATAGGATTTTTCTAATTTGTTTAAGTTCAAACTTACCTCTTAGAAAGATACCTAGTTACATTTTAACACTTCAAGTGATACAGAATCCACTGTGACTTATATAGAAGTGACTGTGATTTTACTTTGGTGATTAATGACCATCCTTGTCAAAACTGTCCAACTCATTTCTCTCTGAACTTGTCTGTTTAACAGTGTCTTATCTTTGTATCTGTGTTTCAGGTAGGTAGAGAAGTCTGTTACCAGCTTGCTTATCAGTAGACACAGACTTACAGAACACACAAAACAGACTTCAGTTTTCTTTAATTTTAACAACACCGAGGTTTACAGATATTTTGGCTTTTTTGCTTGAGTTATCCTGTGTGATTTTCATGTAAATTCTTGACAGTTTCGATCACAGTTACTATTTTGTTGTAGTTAAAATGCTGTAGGAGCTCTGTAATGTTAGTAAGTTCACAGGAGAAAGGACCTAACCTGTAAATCTCCAGTAAGAGGGTAGCTTTTGTTTTTTAATGACTTACTGAGAAGAGAGCTCCTGCAGAGTCAGACCTTACTGCATCTCTTCAGTATTTTTATTATCTATTTGTAGGTTTGCCCTTTCTTCTACTTATGATATACATACCAAAAACCTTTCTACCAAAGCATTCAAAAGTATTTTTCAATAAGGATAATTTTTAATTCAGATACTGTTTTTATTATTCAAGTAATCTGTAAAAAAATACCCCATCCTTCGTCACTGTGATAATTAAGAAAGGCTAACTCTTTTCTTTTGAGCCCTTGTAAGAATATTTTAAATTGTTTGAGCTAAATTCAAACTGAGAAAAATAGTTACCTGACAACTGAAAATATTCTGAAAGAATAGAAGGGTTATTCAACCTTAAATATAAAGTTGCTGTAAGCTTCCTATAAATGATTATGCATTTATGTTGAAGCTTATCTCTGTTTTTCTCATATATTTTTTTTTGACCTGTGATAATAATTTAAGGATTAAATTATTTACTAATTATATTTGTGGATGATTGGGGCAACCTTGGAAATTATATTTATCCTTTCCTGGAAGACTACTAGCCCGGCTAAATAAAAACAAACTTAATTTCTTAGCCCAAACATTTTCTTCTAACTGTAGGGCATATGCTTTTTCAGATCATAAGTAGAGTTATGGCTTTAGATGGACATTCTAATATTACATATTTTATATCTGTAAATGTGGGTGAAATTGAACAATAATTTTTTCTCTTAATTCTGTACATATTTTTATAATCTTGCAGGTTTCTTACTTCAGAAGAGTGCTATTTAAGAAAACAAGTCTCCGTAAACCATCTTTGATTTTGCCATTATGGCAAGCGTTTCAATTTTTATTGATTAAACTTGCATTTCTGAAGGTTACAGATGACATTCTGGCTTTCATGAGTCCACAAATAACGAAGTAAGTTTTTAATGTGTTTCACTTTATATTCAGAAAGTAACAGTAATAATAAAGCTAAAGGATTACCAATATCAAAACCAAACTAAGCAGCATCTTAGATGTGTAACAATTTTATTTGTATATGTCCCTGGCTCCAGCGATTATCTGAAAATGATCTAATGAGGGTAAACTCAAAGAGATCAGGAATTTCTTAGCCAGAGGACTGAGACAAGAACAGTGGAAGTTCAGTATTTCATATTTAAATGTGGGTTATTTTGGCTTTCTTTTCTTAGGGTGTCAATATAAGTGGAGGGCAGAAGCAGAGAGTGAGTCTCGCTAGAGCTGTGTACAGCAATGCTGACTTGTATCTTCTGGATGATCCCCTGTCTGCTGTAGATGGACATGTTGGGAAACATCTTTTGAGAAGCTAATTGGCCCTTCAGGTCTCCTAAAAAGCAAGGTAAAGTAGGGTGGCTTCCTTTCAATTTTCAACTACTTTGTACAATACAAGAGACAGAGTAAAAGTCCCAGTCAATATGCAAAATCTCATCTCTTACCTAGTGTATTGATGAAAATTATTCTGAATAAAATTGCTAAATAAAAAATACAGCTGATTGTGCCAATTTGGAGCTTATTGGGTAGACATAGCACAGACTGAAAAAAACCCCACATCCATTACAAAGTCTTTCTTCTGTATTGCTAGCTTCCTTTACCTAGGGAATAGTTCAATAATGTGCCCGCAATATGAGCCATATATGTTTTTCCTTTCAACATATCATACAATTGCTGTCCACTTTCTGTTGATCCTGAAGTAGTTTCAGATTTCTGGAGCTGTTATGTTACTGAAAATTTCCATAGCCATTGGGCAGTCTGAAAGCAGACAAGAAGTGCTCAGAGGAATGCTGAGATCAGTGATTTTCTAAGTGATAGTTCATTTGGCATGCAGTCATTTTCTGTACACTTTTTGGCATCTGTGATTAAGCATCCAGCTTATGAGATGATTAAATTCAGGGTAAGTTTTGAAATCAGTATGCTGTATTCTAGTAGAGTCAATTTTTTACATTCTATGATGCAACTCTTTCCCCAGATAATTCAGAGTCTAAATTTTTGGGTGCGTAAAGCATGTGAACTTGAGACCAATGCTGTTTCAATTGAAAGAGTTTGTGAATATGCTAAAATGGATAAAGAGGTAAGCATTCTTCTTGAAGTGGTGAGCATTCTTCTTGAATATTTAATTTATGAGCATAGAGAATGACTAATGTAGATTGACTTTAATATTAATGAGTGGTAATAAGTTATAATTTGTTATTAAATACTTTCTCTTTTTTTTTTTTTTACATTGAGAATAATATGTAGATTCTTCATTACATTCATTTTCATAGTAGTTTTATTCCTATTTTGACTAGTAAATTTCTTGGTATCCTTCTTAGCAATAGATTTTGTAGTAAGAATAGTTCAGCTACAGCTCGGGTGAATGCTGTATGCTATGTGCAGCTGAGAGGAGTGTTTTAAGAGAGGAAGAGAGGCTTGTCAGATCGTCTGGAGAGACATTTGTTTCAAACCAATTTGCTTTGGTTATTGTGCTTTTTTGAAAGTAGTGCTCATGTCAAATACAGATGGGTAAGATCCTTGGTCTGTCTCAGAAATAAGTCTCTCTTCTACTTTGTTCTCTTTTACCCTTCCCTCATGATTATGTTTCCTAACCTTTGTTCACATCTTTCCGTCTTCTCCTACTCCTTAAAACAAAATGGTTCTCATAAAGTATGCATTTTAAATATCTGGGAAGTTAGGCATGAGACTAAATTCAGTTCCTGTCAATTCATGGAACAGATACAAGACTATTAGCAACTACCCAGCTAAACCGAGTTTATTCTTTTAAATGAGCATATAAGATGATGTTAAGAAAAAACTTCATTAGTTTTATCAGAAACTGGAAATGTTTAGTCACCCCCACAGAATCACTTTGATAGTTTTTTTGCCACATTTTTCCATGTTTCAAGATCAAATGAGGAGAGGGGAGCCTTGATTAAGACAGGCTCTCCTCTTTGTCCCACTGCTTCCCTCAGAGGTGCTTGCACCACTACTTTTTCTTTTTCACTCCGGGTGTGAGAGGAGACTGGACTACCAGGAGGGGTTCCCAAATCCTCACTTTCCTCTTGTTGCATTTTTACCGGAGGTTTGTAATGTTCTGGCAGGTCTCCCGCTTTGGGATCCCTTTTTTTCCCCAATCTTGTACATCTCTGACCTGTACTGCACGGTGAGCAGCACCTCTTCAACTTTCCTTTTCCCTCCTTCATATTCTCTTTCTCTAAAGCAAAAACCATTGCATCCTGTGGGCTTGTCAGTCCACAGGCTGTTTGGTACTCAGGGTGATTTCGGAGGGTGAAAAACATGTCTGCATACGAGACTTCATCCCACTTTCCCTCTCTCCTCAAAACCAACATTGGTTGTAACAAAGTATTATAATTCAAGGTTCCATTAAAGGGCCATCTTTCCCCATCATCTAATATATACAGAGGCCACCATTGATTACAGTATTTTATTAAAGTCCTTTTGTTCACACTCCCACCTGGCGGTCCTCCTATATTTTTCCAATGAGCCAAGATGCAGCCCAGAGGGCTCTTTTTTAAAATTCCCCTGCTCTGTTTCCCTCCCATACTATCGGTTTTGAGGAGGGAGGGCTTATCCAAATTCTAATTCTATTGTCTCTGTATGTTTTCCGGGTTCCCATGGTATACTCTTTTAAGCTGACCTGAGCACTCAATTCTGTCCCAGTCAGACCAATTCCCTTGACATTTATTACCCCAAAAATTGTTTCCAAACTTTACCCAGACTTCTCTTCCACACCAAAAACATTCAAAACATGTGCTTCGTTCATCTCCAGCCGCTCTCCTCGCGAATAAGGAACCGCAGATCGCAACTCCACACTCGCTTCGCAGTCAGACTGCGCCTTGGTCATACCACAGTCATACAGAGGCCACTCACACTCACAAAATGCACCAATTAGGACAATAAAGAAAATCGTAATCCGTTAGCCCTTTGCCACAATTCAAGCCCAGAGTATACCTGGTAAGTTTCACTTGTGAAAATCAGAAATCAGTGAACACAATATAGACCTCAACACATGGTATACGGTACCAGATTTTTACAACAGATAACAACAATAATGGTTGCAACCCCCCTACGCCCACGGGCTCCAACAGATGGCATAAACGATAGCTACCCCACTTGTGTACTGCCCTCAATAAGGGGTCTGTGCCAAGACTTGCGTACTGCCCTAATGGGGGATTCCTACAACCCGCTCTAGGATTCGAATCTCAACCACCCAGGGGCGAGCACTAATGCTCTTTAACTCGTGTAGGACGTCTCCTCACGACTTACAGGTATCCCCTCCTAAAGCCACATACCTGGTCTGCCAATGGTCCTTGTCTGCCCCCCCAGTGATTGAATGAGCGAGAGAGGTCCTCCAAGAAGCCTTGGGGCACGCCTAGGACATCCCCGTCTCAGCCAGACCTGCAGCCAGCCAGAGAGGGTCCCATCTGGGGTGCCAAATTGAAGCACGGAAACAAATTTTACAACTCACAAAGAGTTATAAAGCATGTGTGCTTATTTCAGTGCTGGGTGCAAGAGGGATTGTTCCTCCTAGCTTGTACACCAACAGCACATTTGGCCAAAAATTTATGCAGTGCAGGTATACTTATTCATGGCATTACTCAACAAAAACGTGCATATGCATGAGAGAGGCAGGTTTAGTTTGCGCTGACTCAGATCTGTCTCTGGTGGTCGTTTACTTCTTCAGGGGTCTTATCTTCCTCTCTTTTGACATAACCTTACATCTTCAGATTACCTTCAGACCACAGTTGGGAAAAGCTGCAGGCTGAATAACTGCAAAGTCTGAGGGAAAAGAAAACAGTGGACTAGTATCAGAAAAGCCAAATAGCCATTCCTTCTCTTTCAGCATATGTATATACATATAGTTCTTACATATTGCTATATTTCGAAAAAGAAGATGCAGTGGAGGTAGAAGCAGCATGATATGCTCCTGCTGCGTTTTCATGCAGCAACAGCTTACCAAAGTAAACCATCTAACAGGCTTAGGGTAGGCAGGGAAAGGCCATTTTGCAGTAAGTACATCACCCAGTAGCAACCTCTACTCTCTTCACACATCTGGTATCAAAGACCCACTGGGACCACTTGGCTGCCTCCAGTTCAGTATTAATTCAGGCTTTGCAGTACCTGACACAGCCCACCAAACACAGTGTCACTGGCTGACTCCCTTGACAGCACAGACAAAGCCACGCCATCGGCCTGCTCAGCACGTACCTCGCCTCTCCTGCACTTTCTCCTCCCAACAGCAATTCTCCCATGCCTCCAGGGCATCTGGGGATCAGGCCCCAGCCTCATCCTGTGGAGTACTCATGCTTCAATGTCTTTCTCCACAGCATTTAAAAATCCCACAGGCAACATCTTCTCAGGTGCCACTTCCCTCAGCCCTGCTTCTAGACCTTGCTCTGCACTTTCCTGGCAGTCACAGGAGAGACTGGAAAGAAGCTGAGGGGAAACCCCTCCTTTCCCTCACAGGAATGTACACATCTCTGCCTTTTGCCAGGCGTAGTTGATGGCTGGCTGTTGGGGGAAGATTATCATCACAGCTTTTGCACGGGGGAAGCAAGAGGCTTGCAAATGCTCTGTAGGATTTTCTCTGGCTACATTTCTGAGCAGAAGCAGTCCGTGAAAATTCTGGATTGGCTTTAAACGGCAGATTAGATTCATTTATGAAATACCATCATAGTTCAGCCTCTCTAGACCTTATCTTTCCCAGCGGGTATCCCAAGGCAATATACATGTAGAAACCCTCTCACAGCTAGAAATACCGGCAATTTGGGACCTACTGGGGCAAGCTTCCCTACCTGCAACTCTTCAAACATCACATTTGCTCATCATCTGTGTGAACCTGCCCCTAACCTTCACCCTGCACATTCTGGGAGCCATTCCCCACATCCATCCTGCAGCTGTGGATCAACACATGGAAGGGTCTATTCCTGTCCCAGATCCTGTGATCCAGCAGGGAGGGCACAAGTAGCATAACTGCTCTCACTCAGAGGAACAAGGAGTTCATTGTCGCCCACTTTGATCAGTTTTCCTCCCCCCTAGTGCTTCCTCCTTCACCCCAGTCATTCTTTGCTTTTACTCGTAGCAATCTGCACTTTTCATCTCTGTCACGTTCTTCCACCCCAAAGTGCAGCTCGAGGAGAAATGCTTTCCCTCCCACCCCACTTCCTAATAGTGCTTCTCTGTGCCACTTACCAGAAAAGATCTGTCACTCCAGGGTATAGCAGCCCCTCGACAAATTGAGGGATTACAATCTCATCTTCTTACCTCCAAAGGAATTCAAGTGCTGTTACACTATTTCCCTGAGAAACTGAAAAAAGACATGTCCAAGGAACAGAAATTGCGTTTATTAAAAACATTCTAAAAGGTTATTTATAAAATACATTTCATCATCTGCACTTGGAAACAATTCAGGAACATACAGTTGGTAAGACATCTTATACCTTCAGAATTTCAAATCAGAAAACAAGCTTTAGCTGTATAAATTTGTTACACACTGAACACCACAGGCAATCATACTCAGATTTCAAGGACTGTTTGAAGGCTGAAACCTTTCTACAAATACCAATATGTTTAAAGAGAGACTTTTGGTAAGCAACACGTGCATATCTGGAAATATCTAGTAAATACAGTGGACTTATCTTTAAAATTCACTGGTTTGTGCCAAAATACAGTATTAAAATAAAAAGATACAAAATAAATAACTTGATTTCAGAATTCAGAAAAATTATTTAATAAATAAAGATGCATTGTGAGAGACAGTAACTTCTTAAAAGTCTGTATAGAAATCTGAATAAATACCCCTTTGTGATTTTTTTTAACAAGTAAACAGCTCACCCTTCCCTTACAATTCCCAGATTAACACTGGCAGAAATTTAACTCCTCCAGAGTGAAGGAGTATGCAAAAGAAAAAGTACTTCATTTATCTGCACTGAGAGTTTAACAGTTAAAAGTTACTCTTACACTCTTAACTTGTCCCAAAATTGCAAAAAGCTTTTAATAGTTTAACTTCACTGTGATGTGGTTGTTTTTATACAGGTCTGCTCACTTTACACAGTGCATGAAAAAAATTAAGACTGAAGACCTACTGTAACTCCAACAGACTTGGAGATGAATTTACAGTAGGGCAGAAGGAAAGGCCGCAATGACTCCAAAGACACTGGAATATATGTTGAATTAAGTACATACATTTATATCTGCAAAGAAAAGGCCTCAAATAGCAACTGCATACAGGAACCGTACTGTATATTGGCATTCGTACATGATTTCACTGAAGAGGCACTTCTTTCAGTGCAGGAGTTTTAGTTATTGAAAGTTCCATACAGACTTAGACAGGGTCACTTTCAAAGAGGTACAAAGGAAAAAAAACCTTGAATAAAAAAAGTCACTTTGGTTTTCAACTCGGGGAAATTAAACAGATGTTAGCAGTATTTTGGGAATCCTCTGTGAAGTTAAACAATGCTGATGGAATGTTTGTGTGCAGCTATGATTCAATTTAAGAGGTTTTTTAATTGGATTACTTCAAAGATATGTTTAGACAATAGCTATCCAAACAGCTGAATCAGCACAACTGATTTATAGCACTGCCATAAATCAGACCTACTGCCAAGATAATAATAAACCTATTTTAATATAGTCATAGGTTAGACAATAAATCTAAGCCCCACACTTTATCTTGGCAAGCTTAACGCAAACAAAATTATTCTGGAGAATACAAGAAAATGCTTAGAACCACCTGTTACTACAGCTTATCTGATTAAGACTGAGTTGATGGATGTTGAAGCCAGTCTTAGCTGAATGAAGTGTTCTCATTGTAGAAAGTTCTACACAGATAAAAGATTTTAACTGGCCTTTAAGTATTGATTTAACACTCCAAAGAGAACAGGACTGTCACCATTTTTTTTTTTTCAGATTATTAATTTTTTCCTTCTCATGCATTTGTGCCAGATAGCTATGTAGCAAACTATTAAAGTCCTATGTGCTACCTCAAATCCTGAGTTACACACATTGCTTCCTTCCCAAAAGAAGGGCTACAATCTCTGATCTATGTTCAGTTTAGCTGGGGATAGGACAAAACTTAAACCAGAAATAGAAGCTAAAAAGTACAAAACAGTTGTGTGAATTTTCATTTACTAGGACTCCAGGAACTAGACTTCATCCAGACAGTCCCTTCTGTCCCACGCTTTCTCCCTGAGAACAGTACAGCTTGGGGTACTCCAGGGGAAAGACATCACACACTTGTAGACACGCAACATTGAAATTCGTGTTGGTCAAATTCAGGGGAAGATATATACGTGTGGCTTTAAGATACACAAAATTACTGCAGTTTTCAAATAAGGCGGCAGGAGGTATAGATAGTTGGCAATATGCCCTTGTTCTCTGTGGAGAACATCAGTGGTATGACAGCAGCACCTGTATGTGAACCATCAAAACTAGATCAGGAAGTAAGCCCTTGGAGACACACTAAGGAACTCTGCATTTTAACATGGTTTGGCTAGAACATGAGACAATTTGCCATGTAGCCTCAGTAATACCATTATGCTGTTATGAACAGCAGAAGAATCACGTGAATGCCTCTCATTCAAGCTGCAACATGCCTTTTAGAAAGCTGCTTAAATGCTCAAATGACTCAATTTAATAAATTTAAGCTTAACACTGTTAGTGCTAAGTGCATTAACACTGCTTCACATTCTTTCAAAGTAAATATATTGGACCTAGGAACACCTACAGTACCATACTACATTATCTCTAACCTTTGGTCACACTCCCTTCATATTTCCAACATACAGCTCTTAAGGATTTGCTAATAAAATTTAGCAAGAAAATGTGGGTGTGTCATCACGAGCATTTCCATCCAATATCCAGTCTACAAGCACATACAGGATACTTCAGAACTTCAAAAAAAAAAAAACCAAAAAACAAAACCAAAACCTCATTTGTACCTTTAAAGTAACATCTAGCCTTAACACAGTTCAGTGTTTGGTAACACCTAACTAGAATAGATAAAAAATTAATATAATACAGCTAAGATTAGGCTTCCCTGCCAGTCAGGTAAGTATGCACCATCAGGGTACACTTTTGAGGAGGTGGAACGCAATGGGGAAGAACTTCTTTTCAGTTAAAATTAGTCTTCCGTAAATGCTTATTAGGAATTTCTATAGCACTGACTTGAAGAGGCCAGGACCCACCAACAATTCCTGCTTGGATAGCTACGCCCATTACAACTGCTAGATCAGGATCTACAGAGGTGTTAGGTTCTTTTCCAAAGAAATCCTGAATAACTCTGCGTATTCGAGGAATCCGGGTAGAACCTCCAACTAACACAATTTCATCCACTTCTGCTTTGTGTAGGTGGCCTTCCTTCAACACTTGCTCAATGGGCACAAGAATCTTCCCAAAAAGGTCCTCATTTAACATCTCAAATAGCTTCCTAGAGATTTCTGTTTCAAACACAACTTTGTCAAAGTTGTTCTCTATTTTTGAAGTCTCTCCAAGATTTTTCAGATCTTTTGTGTTTTGTGAAGGCTTGCCTTTTAGCACAGTGTTTGTTTTTGCCCCACTTTCTGGAAGTTCTTCTGTAAGCTCTCTTTTTGGCATAGTCAACACCACCCTTAGTGTAGCTGCCTCATGAACGGTCAGATTTAATTTAACTGCTTCCACAGCCTGTCTGAGGCGATGTATTTCTTCTTTTCTTGTTGGCAGAGAACCATACATTTGATGGAGCTGATCATATAAATACAGCATCAACCTCTGATTAAAATCCTGTCCGCCAAGCTTGTTGTTACCTGAAACATCAGAATAAAAGGCATCAGACACACCACCTACAAAGCTCCAGAAAGCAGCACACATCTCTCTTACTGGGAGATGTGCTCAAGGGCCAGAACAACGATACTAGGACCATAAGCATAGCACAAGAGCTCACAGAGATGACAAAATAGACATAATTGTTCTCCACTAAGAATGCATATGGCTAGTAATTTCCAGATTTTTATTTAGCAACCATTTTAGAATCCACCCCTCTCCATTTTTTTCCCCTGGAACTGCTCTGCTACACTGTAACAGAAAAAAGCAGTGGTTGTTACCACAGAGGAATTCTCCATAGAAGAAAAGGTGTTAACAACAATTTCTAGCTGAAACCCTGTAACTGAAATGCAATCTCTCACTGCAAATTGTTTTTCCACAGCTAAAATTCTCAGTTTCAAATTTCTCTCTCTGGCCAGAGTATATTTTTCTCTTAGCATTTCCACAGTACAGCTTTATTGGGATTATTGTTTTAACAGTATCAAGTTATTCAATGTCTTCATGCACTTAAACGAAAAACTACATGCTACTGAAATATATGTATACACCCTGATGAAAGCAGAAGTGATAAAATGCAAGCAGTGAACTCCAAGCTCCATTAACAGAGAGAGAGGTATAATATATAACCAATTTCTACGGAAAGATTATTCTTGCACTACATTTTCAAAACCTTTCAAACAATTGCTCATATTTTCCATTCAACTGAATTAAAAAAAATGGCCTGTGGATTTTCATCTCTGTTGAACAATATTCTCAAAACCATTTTGTTTTGACTGAAAACAGGTATTCACTTAGTGGACCTCTACACCTAACTAAATCAGAATGAAGCTGCTGAATATTTTCTGCTGTTCCACTCTTACTGGACTGAACAGTAGCTCACATGAAAAACTGGTTCATGGAAGACCTGTTGGAATCCAGGTCATCTGAAAAGCAGTTGTGTATTCACTACAGTTTTACTAAAGATTGCTGCCAGAACTCTTTGCCAAGTGATGAGCCACTCTGGCACATACGCATCAGAAAACTTAATTCTGGCTTAGCAGCACACGCATTCCCCAACCCTGCCCAACTGAGCTGCAGCCAAACACAAGGTGAGGATGATTTGGCAAGTATTGCCAGTTTAGACAAAGGGAATAGGAAGATCTGTAATATCCCCAACCCCCAAAAGTGCAGTCAAAGTAACTATAATACCCACAAGCACTTTACTAGTGGGCACAAAAGTTAATTGCTGTGGATAAAATGAAACTACAACTTACTCCTTTAAGTCAGCCAAAACCTATGATTTTACCTTAATTGTTGAAACCAGTCACAAACCTAATGTTGCATGAAAGGCAGCTGAGAACACATTCAGAGAACACTTTGTGACAAGGCTGATATGTTTTAAAAAGCCCCTCTAGTGGTGACTTTAGGTGCACCTTTCCTTTCACCCCCACTCCTTGGAAAAAAAAAAAAAAAAAAAAAAAGTACAGCATTTTTCTCACCTGCCATGGCTCGAGTGAGGAACATCCCTCCCTGTTTGTTCAAGAGAGACACATCCAAAGTTCCTCCACCCAAATCCACCACCAGAACATTAAACACATCAGCTTTGTGGAGTCCATAAGCCATAGCTGCAGCTGTGGGTTCATTGATTACTCGCAAAATGTTTAGCCCTTCAAAGAGCAAAGATACCAAACAACAGTCAGGGACGCTTCAAAAAAACTGCAGTTCTCACATCATAATGACACCATTAGTTCTTTGGGTTTTTTTAACCAAACTTACCTTAAGCAAAACGTCAGATCTAAAGGAAATAGTTTTCTAAACAGTAATACTCAGTGAACTCTTTTCCTTATTTAAGCCTAAAGTAGTACTACCTCAGTATTAGGGTGAAGTCATGAACCATGATTTGCCCAAACACATTTCTTCCAGAGAAAGCTGCTAAGGAGACTAATTTCACATGTTCTATATCTGTTTAAATTACTGTCCAAGGGTGCTCTGTATAGCCTCTATTTGGAGATTACCAAAAAGACTACTCTCCCTGAAGTAAAATTTACTACTTCTAGCTACCTATGCTTGCCTTAGTCAACTGTACCTGTCAGTACCCAAGAATTCTTTGCTGTTCTTCACAATTGTTAATGGTCTGTTTAAAAAACATAAAAAAATAAAGAAAATAAAATTCCACTCTGAGGTTCTCTATCACTGATTCACTGTTTCTGTATCCTCCCCAAAGACTTTACTGTTAGTGAAATAGACCTGAAGATTTCATAGAAAAACACTGGAATAGAGACATCACCTGCAAGGTTAGCTGCCTTAATGGTAGAATTCCTTTGCCTTTCATCAAACTCTGCTGGCACAGAGATGACTGCCTTCAAAATGGGTATGCCAAGATAGTCTTCTGCCATTCTCTTCAATTTCAGTAGCAGCTGAGAGCCAATATGCTCTGGGGTGATGCGAAAGGTTTCATTAGTTGTCACAGAAAATTCAGCTGATCCATTGTTGTTGAAAATCTAGGAGGAAAAAGCAACACAGACCACAGGTGAGAAGTCTTTTCCTTATGCTCTCCCCCCCTGCTCCTGCCAAGTGTTTTATTTGCATATACTCTGTTTATTCTGGAAACATATGAATGTGCTTTTGGCATTTCCTCAATCACTTCTATTCTTTGACTACGAGCATTAAGCAAAACATTGCCACTTAAAGGGTCTGAGTATATTCAAAGTAGTGACACCCACTGTGCCCAGGTAAGACATTAAAAAAATAAGACCTAGCAACTGTGTAATCAACTTCAACACCACATTCAAAGACAAAAGTAATGCTTTTTAATCATTAGGTTTACCATACTGATAATGCTTCCCACAGAGTCTTCTTTCTGAAAGGAAGCAAACTGATTGGTACTGGAACAGCATCTCTTAACAAGTAAAGAGTTCAAAGACTGCTTGTGGTACCTGAAAATTTGTCTCTTCTCAGCAAATACTGCACCATGATAAATCAATGCAATGCTTTTATTTAAAAAGCAGCTTTCAAGATCTGCTGCTGGTCAAGTAAGCACTAGGGAAAAAAAAAAAATGCACTGGGACAGAGAAGACATGAGTTTTTGGTTTTGTTTTTTTTTTTTTAAATTTCAGGGAAAAAGTGAGGTTTCAGAAAGCGCAGTTAGAATTTCAACATGGAATTTATACATTAAGAGCAGGGGCTGGAAGGTTACCCAGAAACACATTTCACAGTAGAGGACAGGGTCCTCGGGAAATTCATTATCAGCTCTCATGCAGAAGTAGGCAACTTCCACAACCGTTTCCTCCTCGCCTCTCTGGATACCTCTTACAGGGCTCAGGCATATCAGATTTCACCAAATGACTCAAGGTCAGACAAGCTGGTCACCTAGTACATGTTTCAAGCATCCTATAACTTACTGGTTGGGGAAAACTGAAGAAGATGGCTACTTACCTTAAAGGGATACCTGCTACTTTCGCTTTTCAGCTCTTCTGAAGTAAAGATTTTCCCAATGAATCTTTTTGCATCATATATGGTGTTCTGAGGATTTGAATCAGCCAGTTCTAGGCCATCATATCCAACGTACACATCTCTGTCTGTGAAAGAGACTATACTCGGTATGCTGCTGTGCCCGTTTTCATCTGCAATAACCTTCACCTCCCCTGTTCCAGGAAGAAAGACACCAACAGAGCAGTAAGTCGTGCCAAGGTCAATCCCAATTACTTTTGGCGTAGGCATCGGTAAGTATTGCTGTGCTAGATAGCCGGCTAACAAGAGAGCCAGAACAGCCGAACCTGAAACAGATTTTTAAAAAACAGGGTTAGAGCATCTACTGCTGCAAACTTAGAAGTCAATGCAAATTACATGGTATTACACATTACGCTTCATGCAATTTTCTTTCATGCTCTGAAGACTGTTCAGCTACCTAATCAGTTCTCAATTTCTTCAAAGGTTGCCAGCAAGTTCGAGCCTCTTAATTCAACAGAAAATGGTTAGAAGAGTCAAAAAGCTTAGGCATTAAATACAAAATGGATTTTAAAAAGCCCAAGAGGTACAGCAAAGCCAAAAATATCAACACCATGCAATAATTCTTTCTTTCTCTACAACATACTTCAAAAATATGGGCTAATTAGTATTTTGAGGGGAATTGCCTACGAATGTCCCTTAAGGGACATCTAGTTAATGAGGCTGCACAAAATCACAGTGAAATAACAAACTCCTGCTTCAAACATCTCTCCCAACTTCACTAGAAGTCTAAAAATAAGGAAATGCAAAACCATGCTAACTCGTCCTCTTTCAGCCACAGCTCCCAAAGAGCACCTTCCCATATCTCTCAATTTTTTCTATGCCTTGAAATCAAGGGGTAGACTAGTTTAAGTGCAGAGTTTTGAGCTTTGGGGTTTTTTTAAGTTCACATATAATCAACAGACAAAGCAAAAAACCCCCAAACCTACCACAAATCAGTGCCTCAGAGGAGATACAAAAAAAAAAAAAAAAAAAAAAGCACCAACAAACATACAACACCTCAACAATAAATCTAAATAGCTTCAGTGCCAAAGGGTGGATAAGCTCTTCTTCCCAACAGGGGAGGGCGGCCGCCGCTGCGCTTCCAACAGACTAGCGAGAAAGAACAGGTCTACTTTCGGTCGCACGTCTCCCAAGACACTTCACAGCACCGCGCCACGGAAGCACTCCGGCTTTCCCAACGGAGGGCACACCCGCGCACCACCCCGAGGGGCTCGTCCAGGGCGAGAACGGCGGCAGCGCCGCGCAGCCGCGGCCGGCACCCACCGCCCAAGGAGGAGCGGCGCCCAGGCCCTGCCGCCCGCCCCCGGGCAGCGTCCGCCCGCCAGCCCGAGAGGCGGACAGAGCCGCCGGACCCCACCGCGCTCACCCAGCACCGCCATCTGCCCGGCCATCGCTGCCCGCTGACGCCTCCTTCCGGGCTGGGCCGGGCCGGGCCTTTCGGGGGTATGCCGGGACCGGTAGTACGCACGTCCCACCCGTGCCAGTCACTCTCCTCCCCTGCAAGGGGTGAGAAAAACCACAAGTCCCAGGAAGCATAGGGGCGCAGCTATTTCCGGCGGGCAGCAGCCAATGGGCTGAGAGAAGAGCCATTCGTCTGCAGGGGAGGGGCCGGTAGTGAGCCCGGGTGCGCGTCGCCCTTCCTGACGCATGCGCACGCAGGGGGCCGGTTGGATTGCAGTGCCTGCTGGGAGCGGTAGTTCGGGCGGCGGCGGCCGCTATGGCTGCGTGGGCTGCGCCGGGCGCTGTGGCGGCGGCGGCGGCGGCTTGGTGCCCGGTGGCGATGGCGGCGGCGTCGCGCAGCGTCCCGCCCACCTCCTCCCCGGGGCACGGGCGGGCGGCACGCCGCCGAGCCGGCCTGGGACGTGGTGCGGGGGCCAGGCCCGGGCAGCCGCTGCCGCCCCCTCAGCGCCCTCCTGCCGGCGTGAGGCGTTAGAGGCCGCAGGGCTGGCACCTTTAAGTCGGCGCACGTTAAAGCCTGTTAGGCCTTGCAAAGTAATAATGGCAATTATTATTTCTTTTTTTTTTGTTATTAGCACTGGCATTGGTGTTTCGGGACCTTTCTCGTAGGCGAGGTGGGCAGCTGCCCTGGCAGCCGCGGGGCAAAAGGAGCAGTGAGGCCACGGCTTGGGCTGTCGCCCGAGGCGCTGAGCGCTGTGGTGAATGGCCTTGACTGTGGATGAGCAAACCCCTTGCTGAGCGGCCTGATGTTTACTCCAGGTACCTGTCGTGGCCGCAGGGTGAGACCATCCGGGACCTGCATTGGGCCTGTGGTCGCACATGTCGAGCTGCCGCCGAGTACTCGTGCGTCATCTGCTCTCCTGCTCACTTAGGAGAGAGCGCCAGGGTCTCTTGCGCTGAGGTTGCGCTTTCCCTTTTAAAAACGTGTAGTCTCCTCTTCCTGAAGCGCTCTAATGCATTTTTGCAACTTGTCAGTGTTCTTCGAGTGTAATGGCTCAACAGCGGGGCAGCCATGGCAGCTTCTACCTCCACATCGATGGTGAGGGGCAGGTTTCCTTCTTGCCCATCTGACGTTTAGCTAAGTAAGGAGACTGCAGATGAATCCTGCCCCTCAAATGCATCCTGAAGGAGCAGAAGTAGGAATTAATCCAAGAAATGATACGTGAAGTACAATCTAGGTTTGGTTCTCGTCAGCTGTCCCTCTGCTAACCTCTGTTCTCATAAGGAGTAATGGATTTTCAGGTTTCCGTTTCAGTCAGAAATTAATTGTGAGAATCTGGTGTTTCCTTAATGCAGTTTAAGCTAGGTGGTTTTTAATAGAAAATACTCTTAAATGAATAGCTAGTAACAAATAGCATAGTGGAAGAAAAGTTAGGCTAAATTCTGTTGTAGTTACTATATCTAGCACCTCTTTCTCCCGAGTGGTGGAAAGACACATAACCCAAAAGGAATTCCCAGGAGCTTACTTCTCCTAAGCTTCTTTATGCAAGAAGCAGCACAGCTTTAACTTCATAGTGAAAAATGTGTGCATCATCCATTTATTGTTAACATCGTGACATGGTTCATGGTTCTACATGAGAAGGTGGAAGCCTCTTGGTAAGGGAAGGGAAGGTTAGGCCATTCAGCCTTCTTAATGACTCATGCTCTGACTGTTTTCTAATTGTACACATAACTAGTTTCTTCTCAATACATCAGAGTTCAATATTTTGTGTTTCTTGAAGTGGCACCACTGTAGTTATGGTTATTTAAGTGGGGGAAAACTTCTGACCATTGTTTACAGTATTTCTTGTGTAACTCAAGCACAGAGAGTTTGTATTTTATGCAACTGTCAGTGGATGGTAAGGAGAAAAAAAAAGATGTAGTGGAAACAAGGCATACGATTAAACTGGGTTTTGCTCATAATTTTGATGTTTGATAACAACCAGATGCTTTAATACATAGGGAGCATCTGAAATGTCACACTGCAGAATGCAGTTATACAGGGATGTTTTTTAAAAATACTGCTACAAAACCTAATTTCAGAGCTTTCATCCTTTTCTAAAGCATAGGCTAGGCTCTGCTTTTCATCCTGGAGGTTAAAACTCTGAAAGGCATTGGGATCACTTAATAATGTACCAGCTGAAGGACAGAATTCAAATGCCCTTTCCTGCATAGCTTCCATTCTATTTCTTCAAAACAAAGCTGCTTAATGAAGTCAGCGTCTCAGTTGAGGCCTCCCCACCTGACTCTCACTCCCTGGAGGTCTGGCTGTTCCCTGAAGAATTACACAGCACAGGCCACCTGCCTGGGAGTCAAATCAAGGAGAGCATCTCAGCAGGCTTTCTGCCCTGCAGCAAAAGTGTATCATGCCAGAAACTCCTTCAGAAGCTCCTTGTAGCTTCCTCCTTGTAGCTGTTTTTGGCTTTTCTGTAGTTTGAAGGCGGGATCCACCCTACATACTCTGTAGTCCCTCGAAGGCAACATTTGATCTTCAGCACCTATGCTCAGATGAAGTCCAGAAATACCTGATTTTTTTTTTTTCCCATATCTTCTCCATGACCTATCAGGGCCTGCTCATGGATACGCCTGGACTCTGCACAGAGATGCCTGACTTCTCTTGCATCTGCAAAATTGGCAGAACTAATGCTAGTGAGCTTGTCTGTGTTTTTTGGGGGCATTACCAGTGTGTTCTTGATCAGCTTCTTTTACCTACCCTCAGAGCTCTCATCCGGGAGAGTGAGACCTGTTTCCATGTTTTCCCCTTATCTGAGAGGGTGCTACACCCAGAAGTGGGTTGTTTAGGAACAGAAGGGAACATGCAGTGTTTCTGGAGAAAATTGCTTGATTTTGCACAGAATAATTAAATATTCATTGGTCTTTAGAGGGAGAGGCTTGTTTGGCTGGGAAGGAGAAGCTATGGCTACCCCATACCCCATGGACTGCCTCGTGGGGAATATGTAGATGTGGTTAGGGGCAGACACTGGAAGGCAGATTGTGTTTTTCTGAAACAACGTGCTTTAGCCGCTTCCCCATAGAGGCAGGCAAGGTGCGCGCCGCTGTGTTGAACACCCTCACCTGTGGGCGGGCAGGGGGAGTTCAGACCCGTAGAACTGCTTTTAAAAAGCCCATCGCTGCGATAAAGCTTCGCTGGCTGTAGCTGAATGAGGGCAGGCGAGGTGCTGTGGTGACACGGGCTGCTAGGACTGAACAGCTTCTGGTATCATTGCTGGTTTGGATACCTGGGCTGTGCTGGCTGTGCGGCGTTGACCAGCCCTGGTGACTACCCACCGGGCCCTCAGCACTCCCCTGCCGCTGGCTCGAGTGGAAGGTGGGCATGCAGCTAACTCCCTCGGAGGGTCTGGGCCAAGTGCTTGTTTATTCTTATTAGTGCATCTATTCACTCTGGTAGTAAACTGTTTATAACATTTCAAAAGATTTTGGGGGATTAATTTCCTTCAAGGGGCTGTTGTTTTCCCTCAGTGCTTTGATAGGTGAAGGTAAACATATTTTTGTCTGCAAGTAGCTTGAGGGAGAGAGTCGTTCTTACCATGTAAGAGCAGAGGCTGGTTTTAAAACTGTCTCCCATCAGATGTGAACTGGTGTCTGCAGGAAATAACCTGCTACACTGGGGAGTATTGCTCAAACTGTAGACCTGTGATGTGCTAAACACAGTTCAAGCATTTGGTGTGCGTGGAATCAAATACAGCTCGTTTTCATTTGTAGGATGCTTTGCATCAGCTGTATGCCCTCGCTTGGGGAAAAGGGAATTGAATTTGTAAAGCATCCTCTTTTCTGCCTTCGTACAAAACAGGGCTTCCTCTTTCTAGGGTGGGCTCAGTGAGTGCTCTCTGTACTGTCTCAGTCGCTTTCAAGGCAGTGTCCAAAACCAAAACACAGAGTGCCAGGGTATAGTCAAAACACAGTATGATCCCAGCCACACAGTATAATCAAACTGTTTTCCTACTGTGAAGAAGCAAAGTGGAGACAAGTTTGGGTACACTTCTTAGGTGGAGGGTATAGTCAGTGTCTCCGTGAGAAGGGAGGTAATTTATTTAGATGCTAAAATCTGAAACCTCATTTTCAGTTTTTAACTTGAGTAAAACTAGGTTCTTAATGTAATCACATCATCAAAATTACAGAGAATTTCACTGATAGCTCCTTTCCCTTATTAAAACATTGATCTCCTGCTGTGTGTGGTTGGGAAAGGGAAGGACTTTGCCAGTGCCCAGCCTTCCTCTGACAGACAGTTCGATGTCTGGTAGCCGGAAGAGAAGTACAACCTTCAATTTAGATGCAGAAGTTTCCATTTAAATTCCAGCATCTAGCTTACAGGTTTCTGGCTCCCGTCGAGCGGCTGACTGCCCATCGCCGGGCAGGTGTGCGCCGAATTCTCCATAAGCCCGAAATCCGCTCCCCAGGATCCGCGGCCGCGGAGAGCTGGGCTGGGAGGCAGGAGGCGAGTGCGGGAAGCTGCCAGCAGAGGTCTCTGCCATGCAGGGTTGGTTCCCCCGGCTGCTTTCCGTGTTTGACAGATACCTGCAGATTCATATAAAGCATATTAACCTTTTGCAATCGTTATCCAAATTCTTGTAAAGGCATAAGTCATGAAAATGGTGCCTCATTTTTCATTACAGTTTGTTTAATTGCCTTAACATAGCCATTTCACTGAACCCTCATCAAATAATTTTGAGGTTAACAATGAAATTA